TTTTTTAGTTTCTGAGACTGAGGTGGAGAACGTCTTTTAACCTTCTCCAGAAAGGGAGTTACATAAGACCTGCAAGACAATGTGACAATGAAGGAGACACTGTCACAGGTTTATCATTGAAAATACTGGTGTAAATAAGCGAGTTTAATTATTCCACGACAACAATTTGAAAAAAAAAAACTTCCACTGGAATGCTACCCTTCAACTGTTCCACGTGCGAACGCAATGTCACTGCACGTATCAAATTCCTATGCAAATTAACTCACGTGCGAACACAATGTCACTGCACGTGTCTGACAAATTCTTTCGAAATTGTATTTTCTCCTTACGTGCGAACACAATGTCACTGCACATTTTAGACGAATTTCTATGCAAATGTTATACTCAACGTGCGAACGCAATGTCACTGCACGTATTTTATAAATTCCTATATGCAAATTAACACACGTGGGAACACAATGTCAATGCACGTGACAAATTCCTATTGGCATTGCATTATTATTGAATAATATAATCATTTTCGTTCAACCTTAATAATGCTGTAATTTATCTTCCATGTAAACTTTTTTTAACATCAAATGAAATTTAAGGAGTTCTCTGTTTCAGGTGACAAAACTCTCTACTTTTACCAGAGCTTCCTAAAAAAATTAAAGCATTTTACTGCCTTGAAATGAAGTAATTTATCCGCTCAGCCAGAAAACAATTCCTGGCCGGCCAGTGGCTTCTTGCAGTCTCAAACTTTATATCTGACCTGCTTCGGATTAACGGAGCCTATAGCCACGCCCCATTTTATTTACAAACGTGCGAACGCAATGTCACTACACGCGTCTTTCAAATTTCTATGCATAGATATAGAATAAAATGACTAGATCGGCAGCGCGTCCACACGCGCCCATTCATTGTGCGATAAATCTCCGCCTTTTTTATTGTGTCTCGTGGACGCGCAACAAATTAAAGCTACAGTCCATCATTTGTAATTTGTGCATTTTGTTCGTTTGAAGCAACAAAAGAGTTCAAAATCTAATGAAGGATACTGAGCAACTAACCTGATGAAGTTTCAGCTAAGCTTCAGCTATACATTCCGAAAAAAACAGCATTCTAAGATCTCAATTTCGAATCAAAAGTTACTGAATCATGTTTTGAATTGTTTTGAATTGCAGCTATACGCGACGTTGCGCACTGATCCGACGAATTATAACAACCGCGCGCGCGTGTGCGTCGTTCCAATACTTGTGCGCGCTGCGCTGAATAACAGAACGAACTAATTTTCATACGGTGCTTCTTAAGAATCACCGTTGGAAATGCCTTCTTTCGTTGATTACTTCAAAATGACAGCTTCCCAGAAAGAATAATTTCACAGGGAGTTTAGTTCCCTTACTATATTTCAACCAAGTTTGTTTTTCAACAATAATTACGCCAGTTACTTTTCGGATGGCTGTAAATGATGGACTATAGCTTTAACGTAAAGTAATGGAGCTAAATGTATCTTTCCTCCAGCACGGTGACCAAGCTCAACGCGCGTGAAGCAAGAAATACGCACCGACTATTTACGCGATTCGCCCACGCGTTATAGTGATAATGGTGCACTGTGCGCGTAAACGGCGTTGCGTTCGTCACGTTTTCGCGCATTATTTGTATTTTTCCTCCAGCACGTGACCCTCCATGCAAGTACGCGCTTTTGGACGCGCTGCCGATCTAGTCCTTTTTGTTCTATATCTATGTTTCTATGCAAATTAAACGTGCGAACGCAATGTCACTGGACGTGTGAGATGGATTCCTATGCAAAGTTTACACTATGCGTGCGAACACAATGTCACCGCACGTGTCTGACGAAATTTTATGCAAATTAGTTTTTATTCTACGTGCGAACGCAATGTCACTGCACGCGTGAGACAAATCCCTAATCATTTATTATTGCCTATCCCCAAGTTATACTTTATACACAAATAAAGGCCTTACACTTACTTAAAGTGGCCCTAGATTTTGTAGGAGAACCTTATACAAATGAACATTAATCAGAGAACGTACCTCTTTCTACTCTTGAAGACATTGCCCCTGTTGGTGTTGATCTTGGAGTAAATGGTAACGATGTCTTTGTTAATACAATATAAATTGGACACAATGTGCACGTTCAATTAGAATAAATAATTTGATGCAGAGCCAAAATGATAATTTTGAACAGTGTAATGAGTTGTATGCAGTGAGCGTGAGGAGCACAACGACAGTAATGAAGGCCTAGCCCAGTACCGAAACAACAGCTTAAGATAAAGCCCGTGCACGCTAGGTCGCTGTACCATGGTGATCAGCGAGGCATGAATGTAACAATAGGGTTGGAGTCTGAGTGGAAATCTTCTAAACACGTTATTTGCATAATGTGCATTCAGCGCAAGCCTGGGTTAGAAATGGATAGAATGCTAATGACGTAATCCCGATGGGCGATTACATTTTGGTCACGAGACTTACTTAGAGGGGTGGCACAGTTTCATACTGATCAACTTGAGTTGAAAACAATTGCCTGTTTAAATACATTTGTGAAGGACGAAAACAAAATGTACTGCACCCACTTTTGGGGGTTGAATTTTTGGACTGACCGGTTACAGTCGCATCACCGGGGCACTTGCTCAATAAAAGGCATCTTCCGTTGGTGTAGCAGCGTATCCAGTCTTTTTTTTGGGGGGGGGGCACATCCGTGCTGAACTTGAGGACACTTGGCCTCCGTAAAATCAAGGGGGGGGGGGCTGGGCTGGTACCAAGTTTACAAAAATTGGAGCGCTCTTCGAAACCGGCCATTTTATTCTGGTTCTGTATCTGGTGGAATATACTGCATGCATAATCTCATCACAAGGATATCTTGAAAAAAAAAAATAATAATGACAGTGCGGGAACACATTGCCCGATCGTAGCATGAAACCCAATGAAGCCCAATTATTCAAACGCCACTTTTGAAGGATTTCCGGTTCAAATGCAAGAAACTATTGATCTTTTATGAAGAATTTGGGGTGGAAACACATTAGCACAGCTGTACCGATATTCGCAGAGTGCCCGGGGCCTGTCGCGCGTAGCAGCCGGTCTATTTCGTGGTACGTTCATGGTGACTGCGGGCGCGCGGCATGTACTGCGTTCACCGTTTGTAAATCTCAACTTTAGGTCCTCAGTTTTATTAAAAAAGTATTTTAAGAATTAAGGATGTATATTGCAAAAATAAATAAACAGTTATTTGTTTGGTGTTCTTAAAATGTTAGGGGAGACCGGGGATGAACGTTACAAAATTTACATTTTGCGCCAAATAATTGTAATGAAAGAACTCTAACACTCCATCTTGGGTATGTGGGTAGCCCATTATGTTTACTATAACCTGAAGTATACAACACATGAAAACATCAAACAACTAATTAACTACTAATTAATTAATGAAGGTAAATTTTTGTAACAACCCACCCCGCATACCGGGTAAGTTGTTACACCATACGGGGTAAGTTGTTACACAGTTGTTACACCATAGGGGTAAGTTGTTACAATATGTAAACAACTTATATCCCTCATTGTGTCGTACAATAGTAAATACCATCTCATTCTACTATCAAGAAAGCAACTGCTTTGTCACTTAAGGTGTATAATTAAGTAACTACTTGTTCATTCCAGCAATAAACTGAACATTTGTTTTAATTTGAAACACCTGAAATATAGCTAAAATGCCTCTTTGTGATCGATAAGGATCACTTTCAACAAGTTAGTCACTGTCTGTGTCCATCATTTCGCAATCATCACACAGGTAGCTTTTCCTTCCATTTGTACATTCTGTATGGGACCATCCTGAGCAGTCCATGCACTGGACCCATTGCTCTCCAGATGCAGAGTTGGAAAACAAGTCATCACATACCAGACACCTGTCTTCCTTTTGTAGGTTCTTGGCATCATTAATACAGTAGCTCAATCTGTAGGTAAAGCAAAACAGACAAATGAAATATTTACAGCTGAAAATATACACAAAATATAGTTCAACATACGTAAAATGTAATTGGGGTAAGTTGTTACATTGACACGGGGTAGGTTGTTACAGTGTAACAACCTACCCCATAGAGTATTTTACACATAAAATGTACTGTAACTCAACCTTCAGGCAGAATTACAGGTCATGACCTGGGGATATATTAGTGACCTAAATTTACTATATTTACAATATCAAGTTAGCGTTATGCACCTCCAGTTGTTAGAGCTATTACGAAATTCAAGTTTTGTCAGAAAGTTACTAGGAAAGGACAAAAAAGGGTTTTTTTACTTACGTTTTGAGTAGAAGATTGGAGAAAGCTCACGATCAGCAGTATACCCTAGCTACCTGTAGGCAACATATGGATGGTAGTTAGCCCGCCCTCTCTTGTTCCTGCTTTGCACACTGAGAACTGTAACAACTTACCCGTGTAACTTCCAACCCCGGTCTCCCCTATAGGAGGAGCTGATAGGCACAACTTTGAGAATCAAAACCGAAACTCAGATAACGAAGCTTATTTGCAGGCCTGCTTATTTGAACGTGATTTACCCTCTTCTCTTGCGGAAAGGTTGTTTTATTTTCATGCGTGACATTTTTATTATTGGTTATTATTACCATTTATTATAATAATTATTGTTATGTACCAGAAATCATTTGAAATGGCGTTTGAATAATTTGGCTCCATTGAGATTCACGACACGACCGGGCATGCAATGTGTTCCAGGGGGCAAGTCGGTCAGGGGGCGAGTCGGCTAGGAGGAAAGAAAGTTGGCGAGGGGGCGAGTTGGCTAGGAGGCGAGTCGGCCTGGGGGGGGGGGGGGGGGGGGGGGGGGGGAGCCGGTAAGGGGCGAGTCAGTCAGGGGGCAGGTCGGTAAGGGGCGAGTCGGTTAAGGGTCGAGTCGGCCAGGGGGCGAGTTGACCTGCATTACCGATAATCAGTTATGGCGCCCTCAAGCGTTAAGCTACGTACGTTGCTTTGCAACGTACACGCTCCATGCACTTTGCGCTGTACTAATACTGCACTGTACGCTACGATGCATTCCGATGCGATTCGATCGGTATTTTGTCATTGACGCTGCACAGACATTACAGACATGCATTACATTGCATGCATTGTAAGTACGGTGTGTGGACCTAAATTTATTGCTGAATTTATCGGTTATTTTTCGGAAGTTGTGTTGTAAACTGCGCTGTAATAGATGGCCAATTCGAGTACGATATCTGGGAAAGAAAGTTGCATCCTGACGACACTTTTTTCATCAACTCAATTGCAATGCCAATGAATGTCGGGCATTATCAGGTCAGTCATTGGCATTGCAGAAATGTTGAAAAGACGTGAATCTGGGACTGGAAGTACGAAGGGTACTGGTACCGTAGCAGTGTTGTAGTCGAGTACTTTTTTCCGAGTACAGAGTACTGCCGAGTACTCCCAGAACTATGAGGCTCCACGTAGTGGAGCCTCATAGGTTCAGAACCCCGCAAAATTGTTGTCGGCACAAAACACTAATTAAGTACAAAAACGTCCATCCCAACCAAGCTGTTTCCCACAGAACCGCTGCACAGTTTGCCCCTAAACTCCGTACAATACCTCATGACATACTCACGCTATGTGCACCCAACAAACATCGGTGGATTATGTTGGTTTTTCGGCAAAATGATGAAAAATATGCCTTTTCCGCACTGAGCCAACCTGACACTTGAAATTTGCACGCGCGCAGAATGATCGCAGTCATTTTCGGTCCGATCGCTCGGAGCGCGCCGCGGGGGGTACGTACTCGCACTTGTACGCATGCGCATACTATCGTTCCGCTTCCTACACCATACCCCCCGCGGCGCGCTCCGAGCGATCGGACCGAAAATGACTGCGATCATTCTGCGCGCGTGCAAATTTCAAGTGTTAGGTTGGCTCAGTGCGGAAAGGGCATATTTTCCATCATTTTTGCAAAAAACCAACAGAATCCACCGATGTTTGTTGGGTGCACATAGCGTGAGAATGTCATGAGGTATTGTACGGAGTTTAGGGGCAAACTGTGCAGCGGTTCTGTGGGAAACGGCTTGGTTGGGATGGACGTTTTTGTACTTAATTAGTGTTTTGTGCTGACAACAATTTTGTGGGGTTCTGAACCTATGAGGCTCCACTACGTGGAGCCTCATAATTCTAGGAGTAACTGCCGAGTACTTAGGTTGCCGAGTTAAAGTACGAGTACTTCTAGTTGTACCTGCCGAGTACAACAAGAACAGGTCTCCGAGTACAGTCGTTTTCCTAGTTCCGGATTTGTCCTAGTTCCGGATCGCTTCACATAAAAACCTACCTCTTTTTGATTAGTCTCCAATAAAACAAATTCGGACGGAGTGCATGTTGAAAAAGAAAATGTAAGCTTCTTGATACACAAAGATCTTTTCGAAAAAAGGTCTTTTCGAAAAAAAAGAAGGAATTCTGGCCAGATTTCCGACTCGTACTCCGACATGTTTGGACGGTTTAAAGAAAATCACGGGAGCTGCGAATTGACGATAAATTTGCTCCTCGGTATATCTCTCGTACAGTGTGGTTTCGAATATTTTTTTCATTCACTACAATCGTATCGAATGTTTGTTCAATCAAAATAAGTTGTAGCGTCTCTAATATTTGAATATTCGCCAACGAATGACCGTATGCTTTTGCCTAGTTCCGGATCGCGCGTGCACTTATGACCCAACTACATGTTGCGCGTTAACCGATTTTGTGTGACCTATTCTGTGCTGGGTCAAAGATTTTCGGTCAATGCGTGAGTTCGAGCCTTTGCACTGCCGACAAAAGTCTCAAAATCATTTACATTTTTTCTCTTTTTAAAATTTGCTGGAATTCTCTTGCATGAACTATCTTTGGATAATGAAATAATACTTTATCAGAAAATATGTTTGATTCGGTTGGTTCTGGCTGAAAAAAAAAGATGTTCTTGCGTGATTTTTTTTTCGCATGAAGCAGTTTTGATCGATTCGGAACTGATTGAACTGATCCGGAACTAGGAAAAGTGACATCGGCACTTTTGACGTCGTAAAATCAAAATGAAAAGAGCTTAAATTTTAAAAATTATTTCGTGGTCTCTCCATCACTCAAGGTAAACTTTTTAATCAATGTCACTTGAATTCGTGGAGTAGTTGAGCCGAAATCAGCCTGAATGATGTTTGCTATCCGGAACTAGGAAAACGACTGTACGAGTAAGTGGTAGTTGAACTTATGAGTATGAGTAGGCCCCCTACTGTACTTCCGAGTGCGAGTAGGCTACTTCCGAATATAGCCATATGGCAAATGGTTCGTTGTGTGTAATTGGCCAAGGCCCAGTCAAACTGATTTACAAACCCACTAACGGCTAGCTGTTAAATGTGTTTGTCCAGACGTGCACAGAGGAAAATCAGAAAACTTCGATTTCTCCACAAGGCAATCAATCATTTCAAACTGAAAGTATTTTTCCCCTGAGTACTGCTATTCGAGGATGAGTACTTTGATGATCGAGTACAATTTCGACATGTCGAGTACGAGTACTTTGTTGCCCAAGTACGAGTACCGTCATTTCGATTACGAGTACTTTGACATTTGAGTACGAGTACGAGTACTCCAAAAAAAAGTACTTGAGTAGTACTCGCGTACGAGTACTGAGTACGAGTACATGTACTACAACACTGTACCATAGTTCAACGCTCCACTCAGTAGAGCTAACTGATAAATAGTTCCAAGTTTGTTAGGAATTACTAGAACATTTTCTTGACTCTCCGTATATGGACTCTGTTTCCAATCTTTGGAAAGATTTCCATATAAGAAGTTCACTCAACACCCTGTGTACAAACCCTATGAGAGTGGACTGAAAAATTCTAAGTGTTTTCTAAGAAAATGCTTGTATTTTCTCACTGCTCAAATTGACTTTGATGACATGAATTTGCTATCTGGGGGCTTGTTAGTCAATATTGAGGAAAATTAGTGAACTTCTTATATGGAAATCTTTCCCAATCTTTGTCTGGTGAGTGCAAACTGAGGCAAGAAAGTATAAATTAAGCCTTTTATAGTTTTACTAATCAGCTTCTATAGTTCTAACATTAGGCCTACCTGTTGCTCTGTGGTTTTGGGGGTAATAAGCTTCTATAACATCATTTTCAGGTTTCAAGTGAGACGAAGGCTCCTGGCAGGAGTTTTTGACAAAGGATGAAGATACTTACTTAAGGTAGGCTACTGCTAGTCCGAGTAACTTGGACCAAACTTATCCCCTTTTTTGTTAACGTTCAGACATGGTCCTACTATCGCCAGACCATGCCCGAATGTTAAACAGGCGATAAGGTGGGTCCAAGTTACTCGGACTAGGCTATTGCTGGTTGAGGAACATTTATGATTATGACTCATGTCAGGAATAACAAATACCAAATGTTTACTGATATTTTTTGGTGGCATGGGTGGTTTGTGCGTAAAGCGCTCGCCTCTCACCAAGGTGACCACAGTTCGAATCCTGGCCGCGGATCACATGTTCGAGTAGAGTTGAGCGTTGGTTCTCTCCTCTGCAACAATTGTTTTTCTCCGGGCCCTCCGGTTTTCCTCCCTTCAGAAAAATCAAACACTTTCGATCTCAGGCTGTGCTTATTGAATCAGCTACATGTATTATATTTTTAGCTAAAGGCGTGGGGATTAGGGCCTGTTTAACACATGTTTAAAGGCCCCAAAAATTTAGGATTCTTGATGCTCTGTGGTGTGATCTGAGGCAATTTCGGACCACTTTAACCAATATTAAAGATACGTTGTATAGGGCCCTGTAAATGAGACACACAAGTTCAAAAATCTGGGGGGGGGGGACATTTGATATTGTGTCCCCCATCCTTCAAAAAGTTGGGGGGGGGGGGAGACATGTCCCCCTGTCCCCCCTCCAGGATTGACTCCCATGGTCCTCTCCCTGGCTCTGGTTGATCGGTTCGCACCTCGGGGGGTCACAGTGTGATGAGTACATCGTCCGCCTCCTCATCCACCTCCTTGATGACATCCAGCATCTGGTAGTTACCATCATCCAGCACCAAAGCCCTGCAGTCCAGGAGATCTTTCTGATTCAGGGTGATTTCCTTCCCCTCTCTGTCAAGTGGAGCAACAATGTACACGTGCCCAGTTGCGTTTGGCCTACCTTCCACCGTGTGAAGTCGGTTGTTCCACACATAATATCTTGTATCTTATTTCTGCCTTGAAGGTACGGTTTCGAAGAAAAACCCTGGTCCCAATGTGGAGATCTTTCTGTCTATGGCGCCAAATGTGACACTGGAAAATGTGACACGACAAGGAGGGTGTACATTTCTGTGTCTGGTTCTTTTAATGGTGGAACTACCGGTACATCTTAAAGACGAAAAAGGAAAACCAACAAAAAACAGTTGAGTCTTTCAAGAAATCTTGAGGCTCACAATCTTAGTACATGTAGAACTAAGAAGTACCGGTATGCTTAGAGAACACTGTGATGGTGATGTGAACAGCACCAGTGCTAAAGGTGGAATGCCTCAATCACTTAGACAAAGACTAAGTGTGTACTTCAAGGGTCAAGCGAGGGCGCAGGGCAAGAGATATGCAAATGAGCTGTCAGATAAGGTAGCAACCAATGTTACTCTACACGTACCTCATACATATTCATGATCGAAAGCTGTATTCTTACTGGTCCATTCACCATCACGTGCAAGATGCTATTTTTGCCGTTTACCAAGCGCGCGTGCGAGTATTCACGCACAGGGTAAATACGCATACGTAATACTGTCACACGCGTTACCTGTACGGCAGTCTACTACACATGCGCTTTACGAAGCAATCGTGGAACTGCCACATGGTTGAACGCATGCCCGAACATTGCCCTAGCTACATTTGAAGAGATGGTTGCACACGTAAATGTTAATTAGCATTTTCCCGAGCTCAAAATCCATTCCCCCATTTCGGTGGATTTTGGGGACTTGATCCTGCAGGCCTGGTGTGACTTAATATTGATGGAGTACCGGTATGATGGACTTCGCCCTTGAGGCCTAAAGCAAAGCATGCATTGGAAGCAGTGTGATTGATGGATTTTGGTGGACTTGGTCCAGTACTTAGTAACAAACAGCAGGGAGTTAGGGTAAAGGAGCACATGTGGCTGAGTGGATAGCGCCCCTGACTTTTAAGTGACAGATTCCAGGTTCAAGCCGCTGTCATGTCCATTCGCATTTTTGAGGGGAAAAAAAACAAATTTTATCCCAAAAAATATGAGTAATGTTCTTTATTATTGGCAGTGTATATTTAGCCAGTGCTGGATTTTTTAAAATGATATTTTCCTGATAGGCACTGAACATGCACAGTGCCTTTTTATTGGGACTTACAAATTTTTACCGTGACAAATCTTAGTCTGGTTCGGTGCCGACAATGTCATTGTGTCTTCGTATTCATGAAATAAAAAGGATCATTGGAATTAAAAACATTGCTGAAAGTTTTGATAGTTTGGGGAATGCGAGATCGTTAAAGTCAAGTGTCACTCACCCCAATTCTGTTCCGATGTGTGTGTGCGGTACTGTCCAACTGTTCTCCCGCACGGTGGCTGGCGGTAGAAATTGCCTCGACTACCGCGAGACGAAACCGATCCTAGTCCCGAGAATATATATTTACAAATGTTCACAAGGTTACCGACGGATGGACGAAGATGACGAGAGTTAACTAACTACATGTAGTATAAAACTTGGAATTGTTGACGAATAACGATGATAAACTGGCAAAAACTTGGCACTTCAAATTTACAGGAACGCGACGATATTAAGACGTTAGAACGAAGGGGCACGTCCTTCCCACGTGTTTGTGAACCAACGAAAAGTCTATGTGAAACGCGTATTATGTACAGGTACCAGCGACACGCGAAGTGCTGACAGGTCAAAGTATGACGAAATGCTGACAAAGGTCAGAGTTCGCGCGGGGTGGTCACCACAATAGGAACACTCTTGTAAGAGCAAAAATGAGAGAGGAGCATTACTGACACATTGCCCTAAAAGTTGGTCCTCTAATCATTCTGTAAACCCTAAGTGCCGCGGGTTTTGTGCACAAACCTTATCAGATGATGCTCAATTGACTTCAGCAAAAACCTCAAGCCTCATCATAAATAATAAGTTAAGACAGAAGTACCAGACCAACCTTGACTAGAGTGTGTTCGTAACGGGACAGTGGTCATCTCGCTCGCATGGGCTTTCAATAAGAACTTTTCCAAATGGGAAAGACACTTTGGAAATATCCAATCATTTTGGATATTATACTAACGAGCACATTTTTTTAACAATGTTTTATTACTATTATTTTTCGGTGTGGTGGGAGGGGGGAAGAGGCGGGGCTAGATAGACGATATCCAAATGGCGCAATTAGACCAGCGGGCGCAATGAATTCGCAATTGATGAGGGTTCAAAGAATTTATATGCAAGCTCATTTGCATCAAAAGTGCCCCCACAATTTTTTTGAAAAAAGAGACCATCTGGTTTAAAAAACGGTAGAATTGTGCAAATAAGCCGAGGATCAACTCCCTGGCTTTTGGGCTTCTATCTTGGGGCAGACTTGATAAAATTACGCTTTGAGTGGGTGGGTCCTATTTGGGTCCTATTTGTCCGAGAAAATGTAGGGATGCTATTTGTAAATTTGGCTGCACGCAGGCTAGGCCATTACCCTTGCTCTATGCCTTTACTGACACTATTGCCGTAAAAGTTGGTCCTCCAATCATTCTACACAAAACCCCATGCGCCGGGGGTTTTGTGCACAGACCTTACCAGAGGGCCCATCACGCTCAATTGACTTTAGAAAAAACACAAGCCTTATCATAAAGAATAAGTTAAGACAGAAGTACCGGACCAACTTTTCGAGAATGTGTTGGTAATGGGTCATCAATAGCCAGACAGTCGTTAATTTAGATCATTGCTTTTTTCCTTTTTTTTTTTTTTTGCAACTGCAACCCTCTGAAAACGTGGCTTTTACGTACAGTGTATTTGCTGTTGGTTTTGCACCTCTAATGCACAAAGAGATTGAACACCTCAATTATTTTCAGGCTGCAAATTTATATAATTTGAAATTTTGTAATTAACTAACTTATTCCATTTATAAGTAAACCAGCTGATGCTACATGTACATGTATGTTCAATGTCTCATTCCAAAATGATTTTTGTTTTGTATTGCTAGACCAATTTTTTTTTTACAACCTTGGGTAGAATGCAGTATTCTGACAATTTTTTTCATCATTCACGGTACAGTAACATCAATGAAATTTGTCACTGTACGCGTATACTTGTCACTGTAGACTTGTGCAACTGCTAAAACCTCACAGGACTGACTTAAAGGGAAAATACAACATTTGCAAACATCAAAAAATAAAACTACCAAATCATTTTGAAATACCTTGCTGGACTGTTAGTGAATGACAGTGTAAAGCATCCTGTAAAATCATGGCACCTGGTATACTGTCATTTTCAAGAAAAGTGGTATTTTTGTATCAATTTCCAACGCTGATCGGCCGATCAGCGTTGGAAAAAAACTGGCTTTTTTTTTCAAATACTGGCCCCAGTTGACCATCGCACTTGTTTGCAATCGATTACAAACCTATGAACGGATACGAGCAAGCTAGACTGGTTCCCTGACCTTACAATTCCCCAATGTATGTAAACTGCTCTGTTTCTTCTTATATGGAGTCAGGGAACCAGACTACAGGAAAATGATTGTTTTTCTTGGTTTTTATAGCATTTTCGAACCCAAAACCTCAAAAAAGTCAGTGTAACTATATTTGCTATATATTTCCAACCCCCCAATTCCATCCATTTCTGAAAATTACAGTAATTTAGCAAATGATGTATATTCCCTTTAAATGGCGATTTAACAATCAAATGATTTTTTTTATCACTGATTTAAATCTCTTTTTTTTTGTAAAAATCTTTGTTTCTTGGGGCAAACTAAATTGATTGAGAGTCATTTTAATCATTTAAATTAGCTGATTTTTAAAAAAGTGAACGATGTTGTTAACACATTTAAATCACTTACGTATTCAATACAATTTTTTTCCAAAGAAAATTTATTGCACAATTTTGTCTAAAAATTTCCAAATGCTGAATTGAGTTTTGTGAATGATGGGTATATTATAGAAGCCTGAAAACTCCTTGTTGATGGATGTAAGCGTGTATTGTAAGATTTAGACAAATTTTGAGACAAATCAGTATTGAAGGTTAAAAATACACAAAACCAGATAAAATTAAAAAATCTGATTTAAATTAAAAACAAAAATTAAATAAAAAAGTTTAAGTAAAAAAACTGCCAACCCTTCCAAATAATGTGGTCCATCCTGAGCCATTCTCTATCATAATGTGTCATGTCAATTGCTATTGCTTTTTCTTGTGTACATACCCGGTAGGCTTATCAAAATTGTTGTCAATGGGTGCAACATTTAAATAGTTGTAAATTTAACATTTAAAAAAACAAGTCCTCCCTGTAATGATACATTGTACATACACACATTTAAGTACGTATATCATGCCAAGTTATTTTTTAAATTATTTCCAGTAAAATGCTGTTCTTCGCATTCTTTCCCTCAGTAACCTTTAGACTCGGATGAGCAAATCGTCATGAAGGCCTTCCTGTTGCCATGGTGTGATGTTAATGGAGTGTATTATAATATGCATTCCTATTGCTTCATCTGCCATGTTTGAATCAGTTTACTTAAGCTCCCAATCATATTGTTGGTTGCCATGGATACTGCATCAAAGCAAGTTATAAAGTGCTGGATTTTTTTTGGACAATGGCAGCAGACCAATCGTGTGAGGTTGTACGGTAGCACGTGATGCAGTGAGGAGCCCGCACAATGTGTGATCACAAATCTTTCTAAATATGTGTGTACATGCACTGTACTATTCAAGATTGCTACATCATAACATGTACCGGTAGTTCATCTAATTATTGTTGTCTGAACACAATGTTTTGTTGATTTTTTGATACGTGTACGCAAACAGCATAAAGGTCAAGATGCAATCTGTATGTGTAAGGCATGTCATTGTATGAAAAGTCCTTGCTACACGTAACAGTAAGTTTTCATCGTTTGTGGCACATCCTTTAGCACCTCACCCACAGATTCTGTATCTTGATTGGCCGAGAGCGAGTCACATGGCTCTTGATAGTTTTACTTGCTGTGCATGGCCAAAACGACTACACAACGGATGCCTCAGTCTGAAAAAGTACTATGTACATACATACGCATAGAAACCAATGAAGCAACCAGAGGTCTGTGTGCATAGGGATGTGCATGTTGCACATTTTGTTCCCTTGCTGCAGAGTTCAGTTCAACATTTCATGAAGGGGTATCGGCAGTTTGGAAAAGTAAAGTTTCTACTAATTTCATATCGAAGAATATAAGTACATGTACATCAATTGGATTTTGGTTAAATTAATCGGTTATCTGAAGATTACATGTAAGTACAATCTGTGAGTGAGGCGTTATAAAACAAATATTGTCTGCTTCAGTTTGGAAAGTCTCAGGGAAGACAGAACACTCCATGGATCACCTTATACCCAACCACTCGAAGCATCAATATTTGTACATTACACGTACATGTAATTCCAAACAACTTTGGCTGGTTAATATGCTCTGTGCTGTTCTTACCATGTTCAGTCTCCATGTGGTAGAAAATTATCTCTTTGAAATTACGTGTAGGTCTTGTATGATACATTCTAGAGTTCACTTCTGTTACAAACCACTAATTTGTACTAAATTTTATTTTCGTATTCTGCGTTTGTACAACTTGTTGTAAATGCCACCATAATCAAATGATTTTCTCCTTTTTCTTCTAGGTTTTCAAAACATGATGTGACAGATCTTGGTTCTTACTGCACATAACTACTGGCTCTGCCGACCACCTATCCCCCTCTACCCCCCCCCCCCCCTCCCCACCGACTGTTCCGCCATGAAGTCATCCCAGAATGACCACCAGAACCCCTCTGGTACCCACATCAGTTCCATCCAGCGCCCCATGGCCAAGTACAACCGACTGTCCAACACGGTACGGCAGATCACCCCAGGCCCCTGGCAATGTGCCATGTTCTGCGGAGGCAAGAACTGCAAGTATGACAACCCAGCCAAATGGTCGGATAGTGAGATGGCACTCAGGGGCTTGTATTCATCCTGGTGAGTTAGAACTGTAATAAACAAACCTCCAGTTTCCTAAACTAGAGTTTAAATGCCGTACCAGTATGTGTTATCTTACCGGTATAGTAAAGGCAGAGTTTTAGAGGGCAATGGTTTTGTTATTCCTTTAATGAGTCAACCTTCAGTAAGCCTTGTGTGCATTAATTGTTATTGAATTTAACAACGAAGAACACTCTCTCTGTGAAATACCTGCAATATGTTGACTTCCCCCCCCCCCTTCATCCCTTAAAGAGCAAGGCTTTTGACACCCGACATGGGACGTAAAGTCGTAGGTCCCTTTTGTTGTGTAATGCACGTTAAAGAACCAGAAACACTTCTTGCTAAGAGAAGGGGTTTGCCCCAGTGTTTCTGGCAGTGGCTGCAATATGCGCCGCAGCACCTTGTAAACCCTTATAAGGTGCTGCATAATGCTGTAAATATTTCTCATAAACTTCATTTACCTGTCTTTAATAATAGACATAATATCCAGCGCCTTGAGTACCTAATTGTTGGTACCGGTAGATATGGTCCCTGTGCTATATAGGGTAAACTGGGGTAAAAACGCCCAATTTTTAGGTTTTTGTTAAATATCTCAGTACTACTTGGAGACACTAGGAAATAAATGTGTGGTTTTATGCATTACATGTCTCCTCTATCAGGTGCAAATATAATATCATGGTCATTATATTGATAAGGGGAAATTTTCCCCCCTTTTCGGGAGGAAGTTTGGCGGGCGTTTTTACCCGGGCCTCGGTGAAAAAACGCCCACCCACATTTATAAAAAAAAAACTGGATATACCACAGGTTCCCTGTAGTATACATGTAGTCATATTTTTGTGATTAATTTAATATTGAGGGATACTTCATCAAGTACAAATAACTTTTCAAACACAGCTGGTTAATTATAACTACAAACTTGATCATTTAAACCAGGTATTTTTATGTGGCAGGAAGCGGAACATGAGCGTACCGGTACATAATTCGCCCATAACAAACTTGTAGTTGTAGGCTTACAAATGTATGTATAATGCCTGCCAATATTGAAAAATCTATTTCAATCATGTTGAGCCAAAGGATAGTCAATATTATTAGGCATACCATATGTTTCTAGCCTACTGCTGATAACCTAAGGCTTTATCAAAGGAGAACTACCGGTACTAATATGCACATCTCTGTAACAACGAGACAGATTTCTTAGAGCAAAGAAATGCAATCATGGAGAAACTTCTACTCTGTAACCACAAGAAAGAGGAAATTGCCAGTCATAAAAGACGTAAAATTTTAAAACTGTGAGCAATACATCATGAATGAAACACGACCAAAAGAACCACCTCTAGTCTTCAAGATAATCTACACACCACACATCAAAACCAAGCAGCTAACAAAAGCATTGCTGAAAGACTGGCATTTAATTTCGGAACACCCGAAATTAGGCAATCTGTTTCCCAGCGAACCAATTCCTGCCTATAAAAAGGCCAAAAGTCTGAAAGGTTTACTTGTCAAATCAATGTTTATCGTTCACCGGGAATTGGACTCATCAGAAGGTTGACACAAAATTATATTACGTGCACTTACCGGTATCTATGCACTGTAACATTTGACACGACTTTAGCCGAATATAAAATACCGATATTGGCTTACTACTGATGAAGCTCTGCTAGTATAGCATGAGAGCAGAAACCGGTCTAGTTGGGTCTTAGAACCATTTCTAGTCATTTTTAATTATTAAAAGTATACTCAAAGGTGTTATTTTGTTTTTTCTCGAGAAAATGCCATGAGCCCATGATTTCTCGGGCATTCCCTAACAAATGCCAGATTCCTTGCCACTAAGTAACGTCAGTTAGTGATACCGCCTACATGTACCTCCCCACTTCACACAATACACTGTTCAATATTTTTGTGGTAGGACTCTAATAGCTATTACTTACTCATACAAGAAACATATGGCTGTAGAAAGTTCTAATAGTGAGGTTTTTGATGATAAATGAGGCTGCAATAGAGTTTGATGTCAAGAAATGTACTGGGCGTTTTTACCCCGAGACCCCTGATTTTGTCCGGGGTAAAAACGCCCACTCAAGAAACATTATTAAGCAAATATAAAAATAGATTTTATTATTTTAATCCTTTGTAATTATGTAATTAACCCTTCTTAACATACATGTATATCAACTAAAGAATAATAAAAAAATAAAATATTTTTTTTTATAAAATAATTTTAAGCAATATAGGCTAAACCTTCGACGGTCATTTTTGAAACTTTTTTTTTCAAGTTTTTTTCAACAGCACCTACGTACCCTTCAAATATATTAATGAATTTAATACTTTTTATTATTAGTTTTTATTTACATTGTACTTATTAGAAATATATTCCATTTAGTAATTCATCTTATAATTTTTTACTAGCAGTGGAAACAAGTCAAGTGGGCGTTTTTACCCCATGGGCGTTTTTACCCCAGTTTACCCTAAGACTCCGGTATTATTATTATGCTCGTGTGGTTTTTGAATGCTGGTTTCGGACAGCAACTTTTTCCGTCAGAAAAGCGTTTTTGCACCGCAAATGGTATCAACAATTAGCCCCCAAAATGTAAACAAAAATAGTGTACGGTACATGTTCTTAATGAAAAAAAATATTAAAGCCGATGTACGACACTTCAAAAGATGGGAAAATCACGAAAGGAACCCGTCCAACATACATGTACAGTGTACCGTACATGTAGTCAGGTATGCTTCACTGTACATCGTACCCTGCCCGCAGTAAAGCATGGCCGTGGTGGACTAGTGTGACAGTCATGTTAACTGGCTAGGGCCAGGGCTACGATGTCAACCACAGCGACACGTTACGACAGAGGGAGACCAAGTGTAGCAAACTAGTTACAAAAATGGATGAACTGAAGGCTCTTTTAATAGCGTGCGGTTTTGGTTGAGGCAGAAGTTCTACGTGACCTCAGAAACTGAGATAAAGTACTTCGAGTTGAACTTGCTGTACTTAAAACGATGTCTGGACGCTCGGTAGTTTTATTTTTACGACCAGCCTCCCGCGTTGGGTGACCATTTTAACTTTTACCATTTTAGCCAAAACACTGTCGGAACATATGGTCTTTATTAACACCCTTTCATTTGAATAACTTGTGAGTTGACTTGGGACAAGCTGACTTGTGATGGAGTTGTGACGATTGTAATCAACGAGTACCTCAAATACAGCATTAGCTAGTAAAAGTATGGGTTCAAATGAACTCCCAACATCACCAAATCCAACACTGGTAGGCTGAACAGTGTTTTTTGTTTTTTGTTTGGAATCTAAATGGTTTTTTTCTTCTGCTTACCCCTTTGTTTGTCAGGGTTGGAGACAGCATCTTAGCTATAGCAAGGCCGTCATCTGAAGCTATTGAAAAATACGGAATTGTGGAGCAGTTTAAGGAGTAAGTCTTGGTATCAACATATTGCTTCAACAACATTACGTTAATATTTCCTTGAATGTGCATGTAATACACAAAGACAGGTTCCTTTTCTGTTTTGCATGGGTTTTGTTGCTAGTTTGAGCAGTTTGATTTTAGCAAATTTTGCTGTGGTTGTCAAGTTAGGGAAACCTTTTGAACAAAATGCAATTTTTTAACGGTCAAATTTGAGAGACTTTGTTGCATTACAGCATGACAGTTTGATATAAATAGATGATCATCTCTTGAAGTACCGGTACATGTACATGTCAGTGCACTTTTACATCAGAGGCACTCATGCACAACACAAAGAGTAATGAGTTTTTGTCATTATATGTACAAGGTGCCTTCAAAAGGATTTTGAAAAAGATATAAATTGGTCTTTGCATGAAAATAAACCGTCAAGCTTATTACACTGGTCTCATGGCAACGCTCTGCCCCATGCATGGTAGTAACAAAACGCATTTTATATTGTAACACATTGGAAGCAGACAGTCGCTTTCATATCTATAGTGGAATAATACTGACAGACCAGACTGGGACCTTCAGTGCAGAAAAACAAAAATGTAAAACAAAAACAGGCCAATTTTACTTAGTCCAAGGCTTTAGCAGACACAATTCTCCAAAAATAAGTATAACTTTAAATCGTTTGTAAAATATGTTTAAACTCGTCCCTTTATTACAGTGATTTTTGTTTTAATTTGGACATTCCTTTGTAGGCATGGCATCAACTCCATTATTAATCTACAGCGGCCAGGGGAACATTCCAGTTGCGGCAACCCGCTGCAAAGCAGTGGCTTCGCCTATCAACCAGAACAGTTTATGGACAATGATAGTAAGTTGCATTGAAAGGGAACTGACAGAATTTCTTTTCAATGCAGGATGAGCTTGTCCCTTTGTCATCAGAAGGTCAGCAGTTTGATCAATAGATACATTTTCTGATATCGGAATGGGTGATTGACAAACAGTTTGGAGTAAAATGAGGCGAATATTTTTGTGGATCTGCTTAGGCCCCCCAAAAAAGTCTCCGGTTTCTGGTATGGAGCTTGCCCAAAAAGTGGTGTGGCGACGCGGCTTTTTTCTTCTTCTTTTACCTGATTTTTTTTGCCTCAAATGTCGGCTGATGACTGCAAATGGTGCCCGACTAAACTTAGTGCAAATATATGGGAGTCCAGAGAGGCCACATAAAGCTTATTCTCGATCATAACCCCATCCAAAAACATGTTAAAATTGTGCAGCAGCAGGATTCCAGTCAAACCACTGAGTTTGGCGGTTTTGAGACATCATCTTTCCTTGAAAAAAAACCTTTTTTATTTTGCCGACGCGCATGTCTACGGCGACGCGCGCGCATATCAAAAACCGGAGACTTTTTTTTTTGGCCTTTGGGGTATAGCTGATTTTAATTTTTTTACTCTTGTCATTAGAGCAAAACAGTTGTGCTAGTCTTCAGCCTATTTCACTGTCTAGACATTAGCGTTATACAAACCATACACAAAACCGAAACCGACCCGAAAGCAACTACAGCGTCAACCCACCATATGATTGTGCATGTGGATTGTGGTCTATTCCGCACAGTCTATAAACATCAGTGGCGTAGCCGTGGGGGGGCGACAGCCCCCCCATGAAACCTTGTCGCCCCCCCAGTCGCCCCCCCCCCCCCCCCCCACTGAGATTTTGAGTTCCTAAAAAAATTATCATTGATCTACATGACGCCCCCCCATGAAATGTTCCAGACCGCCCAGCGCCCCCCCACTGAAAAATTCCTGGCTACGCCACTGATAAACATACAGGTCGACCGGTAGGTTTTTCTTTAAAATTCACGCGACGCTGGTAACTAAGTTACCAGACACAGTTTTCATGAAAACTACGACAATTTGCTCAAGCCAGATATTCAGTTTTTCTTTAGGGTCAGTTCGGTTCAGGTCAGTTCGAGCCAGTGTTTCCCTGATTTTTGTTGGGTGGGGTAGGATTTGGGGAGTTCAGATTGGTTTCGGTTCGGATTCAGTCTATATCCATAATGTTTCGGGTCAGTTTTGCCTAGTCAGCCTGACCCAATGCATATTATTATTAGATATGCAAATGCTTATATTCGTGGAATAACTTTTTTTACTATTTACTGTAGGCTGACTAAATACAAAAAACAGTCACCGAGTTGTGCTATAAGTACACCCACGACACGTCGCACTTACGACGTGTTTTGTGAAATGGATCGCACGACGCGTCGAAGCTGCGACGCATCGTAGGGATACGACGCGTCGCAGCGCTCCGATGCATCCTAAGTTACAAAGAGTTTGATGAAATCGGGTGCTGATTTGAACAAGTACATGTAGTGTGCCACTCATTGCAGCGATGTTCCATTCCAAATGATAGATGTGGATCGATAGAATGAAGATTTTATGTTTAATGTTATCAGTTATAAATGATATGCAGACTTAATGGTTTCATTTCTTGATGTTTCATTTCAAGGGGTTTAATAATGCATAAGTGAATGAAATGAATATTTAATAGTGGATTAATACTATTTTATCCATAGGGATCATTTGATCAAGAAAATCAACCTCATTATTCATACATGTAGTTTAAAGCTATAGTCCATCATTTGTAATTTGTGCATTTTGTTCGTTTGAAGCAACAAAAGAGTTCAAAATCTAATGAAGGATACTGAGCAACTAACCTGATGAAGTTTCAGCTCAGCTTCAGCTGTATATTCCGAGAAAAACAGCATTCTAAGATCTCAATTTCAAATCAAAAGTTACTGAATCATGTTTTGAATTGCAGCTATACGCGATGTCGTGCACTGATCCGACGAATTATAACAACCGCGCGCGCGTGTGCGTCGTTCCAAACCTTGTGCGCGCTGCGCTGAATAACAAAACGAACTACTAATTTAAATTTTCCTACGGTGCTTCTTAAGAATCACCGTTGGAAATGCCTTCTTTTGTTGATTATTTCAAAATGACAGCTTCCCAGAAAGAATAATTTCACAGGGAGTTTAGTTCCCTTACTATCTTTCAACCAAGTATGTTTTTCAACAATAATTATGCCAGTTACTTTTCGGATGGCTGCAAATGATGGACTATAGCTTTAAAGCATAATCTGAAAAATAATTAAGCTGCTGCAAACTGCTCACTGACTGGATTGACCTGAAATATACCAATCAAAAAGTTAGAGAGGCCTGATATATTTCGTCTCTAGCAAAGAACTCTTCAGAGGCAAATGACACATAGACAGTAATATATCTGGACTTAAACCACTGCTATGACGTCACACTATTGTTAAAAGTGTGGATTCGGATCTACGAATCTCTTACACTGGTCACAAGTGTGGATTCGGAACGACGAATCTTTAGTAAAGTGTGGATAAGGAATTACGAATCCACACTTTGAACTCGTCGGACAATTGTTCTCCATAATGAGCATGAATAGGACCGTCTGCATGAAAATTTGCTTTCCGAAAATTACCAATGCATCTTCACTGTCAGATTTTCCGCCGTCACTGCAAAATCTACTTTTAGTCAGAAAGAAATCGTCGTCTGAACTATCCATTTTGATGTAAGGAGCCTATACACACAAAATGACTTACACATGCTAAACACGCCAGGAAACAATGTTGCAACCTGACGCCACTTCCGCGCTTGTGTACAACGTCTATGGAGAGTCATTTCAAGTATTTCCCTAACAATTTTGGAAACATTTATCAGTCCCAGATTCATGTCTTATCATCATTTTTGCAACGAATGGCCTTCATTGAGATGATATATGAAGAAAAAAGTGGCGTCAGGTTGCAGCATTCTTTCCAATACTTCTGTTGACGCAATGGTTTAAGTCGAAGAATACACTCGCAAGTGTGGATTCTTAATTTACGAAATTACGAATCCACACTTTCTCGTGTATTCTCCTTAACAGAAATACCCAGTTTTGGAGAGTACTGCTACTTCGTGACCAAAATGAAAAGGTTTATTTCAAAACTTCTTTGTTCGTAGCTGGAAAAAATGTTATTTAAGAAAGTATTCCAAGATTTTCTTTTAAATATGCCTGTAGTGGTTTGATGATGCCTGAGCAAGTTGAGCAGGATTATGAAAAACAAAAAGAATATTTTCCAAAGAATTACTACTTTGTCATTTTTTTTTGTCATTTTCTTAGTCTTTTTCTTCAACTTTGGTTGGGATGACTATGGTGTTAGATCTCTGCCCTCCATTTTGGACATGGTGAAGGTGATGTCTTTTGCACTCAAGGAAGGCAAGGTACGTGTAAATCCAGTTATCCATTTGTCGTCATTAATGTTTTCACTTTTGTAATCTTATTCACCGTAATGACCACTTCGTCAAGTAACAAATGTTATTTATAACATATGTTCTGGAGTAGAGTTACATGCACAGCACCTCAACCGTTCCCTTTCGCAAAAATATGAAAATCACTCAAACTGCAAAGTATATAATGTTTTCAGCTAGATCAGAAATACACCTCAATAATTTCTTTTTATCAAAACCAATTTCTAACAAGCGCAAGTTGTATTGAAAAATTCCCTTAATAAGTCCAAACCCTTGGTTGGGCCATCATTTTGTACAAACTGCTGTTATAGTTTATTGCATTTTAATTATGAATTTTGAAGTTTTTGTCAAAAAGATTATATCATGAGCCCGTGTTGTTAGTTTAGACACCACCCCCTTCAAGATGTTGAAAGGCAAAAGCAGTGTCCGAAAGCAGTTGCCATGGTTACTGATTGTTTTCACTCCTTGACAGGTTGCAGTGCATTGCCATGCTGGCTTGGGACGGACAGGCGTTCTGATAGCGTGCTATCTCATCTATGAACAACGAATGGAAGGAGACAATGCCATACAGTTTGTGCGAGCAAAGAGGTTGGTTATTGTAAAAACACAATAATAATAATAATCGGCCTTGAAGAACGCTCTTATTAGTAAACTAAATCACAGCGCTTACAGTTTTATTATTACCCCTGATCATTGGGCCAATTAAGCATTCCAAATACCATCTCAGCTTCCTGGGGAGTGTACAGCTCGATGCTGCCTGTTAGGCGCAAGCAAGCTTATTCAATCACAATAACCATCTCTGCCCTCACAGGTACCCATTTACTCCTGGGTGAAGAGAAACAACGAGTGACAAAGTGCCTTGCTCAAGGGCACATGCACCATGACCCCATCATGCAAATTTGCTTGTTCATTGGATTATGCACAACCAAACAGATAATCTAAACATCTATTAAGTTGCGTACTTTATTTGTGTTCATTATGAAGTTATGAAATAAAAACTGAATTGAATTGAGGCATTTCAACGAATTGCTGATGATGCCTGATGCTCATGTGAAGGGCCATTTTTGGGTCATTGTGTGACATAAAATTAGGCTCGTCTGATTTTTGAAGCTATAATCCAGCTAGGTTTAACATCTGACATACAATGTATTACTTTCACTGATTCATCTGGTTAATACGTTTTACTCCCCACCTCAGACCATAGTTTCTACTTTCACAAATTGTTTCAAAATATTACCAGGGGTCATCAAAGTTTTGTTCACGTGTGTGACATCAAATGCAAAAAATTGTATCTGGCCCTCACCAGAAATTCACGCTTTTCTCCACACTCAGTTCTAAGGACACACTCACCCATACTTATTTTGGAGTACAACTAGTCTTTTGTGATGTGCAGTATGCATAAGCACTGTACACCCTCTGCATTAGTTTTACTAAATAGGAATTGTTCTATGGACACATGTGTGACATTTTTATTGGTCACGTGTGACATTTTGTCATTAAAATTGCTAATTGCTTATGCAAATTTATGCACAGAAAGACAAACTTATGCCAGGAAAGGTATTGTACCTTAAGTTGAAAAAATTGACACAGCCTGTCAATTGTACCAATATGAGCCCAATTTACAAAACTCATAATTATTGTCATTTGATAGTTTGAGAAATAGGGTACCGGTGTCTTTCTCCATTTTGTCACTGAGAGAGGGAGGGGTAAACCTCTAAAAAAAAAAATTTGACTATAGCATTAATTCCAATGTACAATTGTTACAAACTTTGGTTTTATTTACAAACGTTTCTCATGAATGAATATTGTTTTTTGTATTTATATCAGGAAAGGTTCAATACAGACGCCAGGGCAGATTGAATGCTGCCAGCAGTTTGCCAAGTTTCTTATTCCCATCAGAGTGATATTCTCATCCTGGTAAGCCCTTCATCCATCTCCACCCTTTGCTCTCGTTCTCTCTTCCTGCCTCAGCCACTCCTTTGCTTGAAACCTGTTTCTATTCACTCCTTGCATCTCATGAAGAAAAAAAAATCCATGCACGTAATAATCATCATCATCATAGTATATCCACCAGTATTGGTGCTCAAGGTGCTGCACAGCCCTATTTTGGTAAAATGATGTAAGTCAATTTTTGGGCGATTTTGAGTTAGAGTCAAATCCCGGTAAAGTGAGGGCGCTGTTTCCGATTCAGAAAATATTAGAGTCAAGAAATGAAGCGCTTAAAAGATATTATATGTATCTCACCATGGAAAACTTAACTAGTGCAACTTTTTTTTAGAAAAATAATGCAAGTCTGACATACGTGACATATATCTGTGTTTGCAAATCTCACAAACAAGGTAAAATGTTGTATCTTTTACTTACAGCATTTTTGGTAATTAAAGTCTCGTTAATTGTTTGTGCATGTCAGACATACACCATTTTACCAAAATAGCACTGTTGGTTTGAATTCATGCATATCCCATTTGTTTCCCCTGATATGTAAGTAAACTGGGGAAAGTCATTTGCATTATTTTCATCATAAACGAAATTACCCTTTCACAGGCTTAAATGCAGACTGTTTCGTTTTTAAGTCTCTTCAAATGATATGTACACACATACATTATTACTGCGTAACAATTCCAAACTTACCATTGGAAGTCTTTTTTAGTAAAATGATGTATCTTCCAAAAACATTCTATATCTCTAGAAATATCCACGAAATTTAGTGAATTGTGTAAGAAAACAAAATATTGGTTGCCTAGACATCAGAAAATGACTGCTTCACAGTCTTGAATACCTAAAGACCAAAACAGCAACATTTCAATCTTTAAATCACTTTTTCTCAAAATGTCCTTCAAGTGAGATACATCATTTTACCAAAATAGGGCCGCGCTACATGTACATCATTATTACCCTGCTCACTGGGCCAATGAAACATTCCAAATACCGGTACCATCTCAGGTTCCTGGGAGTGTACAGCTCCATGCTGCCATTTCGGTAGCCTTTCGCCAAGGCCATCGTGGCTAAACTTGCCGGCATTAGACAAATCGGTGAAGCCGCGAAGCGACTGGAGCGGGAGACCACACACGCGAGTGGCGAAGCTACGACGGACTTTTCCAAATTGTCAAGAATTTCCTATGTTTTTCTTTATAATCTCGATTTTTGCTACCCCAAAAGGGTAGCAAAATTCCAACCAATCAGGGCGCGCGTGGCTACTACCTGGATGCGCGGGGGAGCCCCGGATGCTTGCACAAAATTTAAAAACAAAAAATGCGAGTCTAGTTTTGCACGAGATCGTGACCGCGTAATTGTTCTTTCATTATCTTATTTTAATTTTACTTATAAAAGTATTTCAAGAAATTATTCGAGTGTATGAACTTATTTTTTTCATCTGAATTTATAGTTATTTCCACTTACGTTTCCCATTACTCACCCTTCTTTCACAAATGGAAGCAACTAGGCAAAATCCACGCTGTGATTGGTTAGCCTTTTTAGCACTCTACTTATTTGCATAATAATATGAATAATTCAACAAAATCAAGTTAGAAAAGGCCTCGTGGCTTTGCCACTCGTGCTTGCTGACTTAATCTTTGCTCCAGTCGCTTCGTGCTTTCACAGCTCCGTCCCTCTAAGCCACGATGGCCTTGGCGAAAGGCTACCATTTCGGTGAAAAGCAGCTTAAATCAACCACAATAACCATCTCTGCCTTCACAGGTACTCCTGGGAGGGGAGAAGCAATGAGTGACAAAGTGCCTTGCCCAAGGGCAGAATCAAGGCGTTGGGGAAAACTGGCTTTTTTTCAAAAAGTGCTCCTAGTTTTTCATGTTTAGTTCGTCTGCATTTTCTTTGCAATTGATTACACACCTGTGAAAACTACAAGCCTGCTAGACTGATTCTTATGATCTTACAATTCCCCAAAGTCTATAAATTGCTCCGGTTCATCTTAAGTGGCATCAGGGAACCAGACTACAAGAATATGATTGGTTTTCTTGATTTTTCCAGCATCTACGAACCCAAAACGTGAAACAAGTCAGTGTAACAATATTTGCTATAACATACTAATCCTCCAAGTCCATTTATTTCTGAAAATTGCAGCAAAAGCAAATGTTGTACATTCCCTTTAAATGGGACATGGTGCATTTTCAAGGATTCCATTTTTTAAAATTACATTGCATGGACCCTTTCAGTAGAGAGAGAGGAGTGTATTATTACATAACACCTCACTTGTGGACACAATCACCCTCCTTAGGAGACTATTATAATCTGTTGGGCACTTTTTCTATTTGTATTCATTACATAGCCTTTCTTACACTTGACACTAACTGTGGTTGTATGATTCTGATATTCCTTCATTTCCAGTGATCCGTGTGCATATCCGTTCACTCTGGACCAGTTCCTAATCAGGCAGAAACTAATGCTGCATGGCTACGAGGCTCGGGAATTGAAACATATACCCAAAGTGAGTGATTAAAACCAGACTACTGGGGGAAAAAACATTCTGTCACCTTCAGCCGAAGGAAGAAGAAAACTGAATCAAGATTAATTAAGCTGCTGTTTGTATTGTCAGATGATTTGAATGAGAAACTGATCAGGGGTGAGCTTCATAGAGCAGCTAAGCACAGAAAATATGTACTTAGCAACAACTGGTTGCCATTTAAAATGTGACATATTTATATATTGGATGGTTTTGAGAGGGATACGAGAATATATTGCACGAGCTACATGTGTACATTTATTACCCCTCACAGTGTTTCCCCTGGGTTGGTGGTAGGTGTGAGGTGGTAAAATATATTTGGTCGAAAACAGACCCCGCGAGTGCGAAGCCCTTGCGGCGTGGGGTTTGGGGCCCGCTTAAGGGCCCCAAAAAATTTTGCATTCTAGACGCTCTGTGGTGCAATGTGAGGCATTTAAGGTCACTTTCTTCTTACTTTTTTGGGCAATATATGTGAATAAAATATTGATATAAATTATTGAATTTTTTTTCTAAAAATCCTACATAGGCCTCTATTTATTTGTGAAAATGTAGGCCTACCACCACCCTGACCACCAGGGAGTCAAGCACTTTTGGATTTTTTTTTACAACCCTGGAAAATTTGGTATAATTGGAAAGAGAATCACACAACAAAATCAATAACGTTTAAATTAGTTTCATATGAGCTTGCGTTCTGGAGATATAATAGTTAAAATTAAAAAGAATGCAATGAAATTGAAAACATTCTGAAATTTTTAGTGTCAAAATATTATTATTTTAACACCTCTAAATTTTTCAAATCTATCAAAATGTTGAATATCATAAGAATCCTTATAAAATAAACAATATTTTGAGTTTGGAATCAGCTTTTTACCCCTCAGCCGAGAGGCTCGAGGGGTATTGTCATCGCCAAGGGCGTCCGTCCGTCCGTCCGTCCATCGCCATGTATGTATGTCAGTGTGTCCGTCCGGGCAGCTTAGTTTCCGGATGATAACTTGAGTTAGAAATGTTCTTTGGGATTGTAACTTCGGTAGGGGGTTGCCCTTGGGAATAGGCAAGTTGGGATTGGTTTTGAGGTCAAAAGGTCAAAGGTCAAGGTCACCGTGGTGAGTTAAAGATAAATGGTTTCCGGATGATAATTTCAGTTAGAAATCAGATTTTGGTGTCAAACTTTGGTAGAGGGTTGCCCTTGGTTCTGGGGTCAAAGGTCAAAGGTCAAGGTCACCATGTTGAGTTAATGGTTTCCGGATGATAACTTGACTCTGGCTGAGGGGTTTCAACAGCAACACTGTTATTTTTATCACTCGTTACGGAAAAGTTATGATCCCCCCCCCCCCCCGCCGTTACACTAACACCGCGCCGCACGATTGTACGACATATCTGACTCTGGGCCCACACCGCAATGCGACCACACAGCCCGCCGTAACACACGGGTAAAATACAGCTCCATTCACGGTACACACAACGCGGCAACACGGAACATGCACGTGTACGCGTAATCACGCGTTGCGGCATGCCGATAACATCAGCTGCCGGAACGGGCCGGCATTATTTTTTGACAAAAAAAACCAACTTTCGGGTTCTCCTGAAAGTCCAAGCTTCCGAATAAACCCCATTTCATGGACTTCTTATGCATGTATTTTGAGGATTTTTGATTGGAAAACCGTTACATGGTACCGTTTTGTAGCCTTCGGAAAACGAAAAAATTGCATTCACCGATCGCTTGGCAGGCTGAGCAGGGTACCAGGTCATACATAATGTACGCACGCGTGCTGTGCAACCAGCGATCGTCGCACCACTTGCCCAATTGCACATGAGGAGCTCATTGCGAATCAGCCGGAACATGCGCAGCATTCTGGGACTATCTGCCTTGTTAAGCGCGGAGGATCTGTGCGTTCATTTTAGGATTGCGCAATGTATCCATAAATGGGATCATTGTCACTTCGTCACTCAGTCAAAAATCTTGAGTCGACATGCACCTAGACTCAACCAGTATAATATACACACGGACGTTGAAAAGGCTCCATACTAGCTAGAGAATTGGACGTACATGTACGTCGTCTTCGTTTACGGTACGAATGACGATCTCAAAGAACACTAACATTAGTCCGGAGAATTTGAAGGTGAAATACAAAGACACACACATAAAATGCACAGATTTGACTATAATATTTTTTTATTCCTTTTTCGTACCCGTGAGGCGGCAACATTGGCCAAAAAAGGCCGAGGCGGCCTCAAAAAGTCCCGAGGCGGGCCGCCTCACAAAAGAATGGGCAGGGGAAACACTGACCCCTCAGCCGAGAGGCTCGAGCATTGTCATCGCCTACGGCGTCAGTCCGTATGTCCGTCCGGGCAGCTTAGTTTCCGGATGATAAGTTGAGTTAGAAATGTTGTTTGGGATTGTAACTTCGGTAGATGGTTGCCGTTAGGAGTAGGCCAGTTGGGATTGGTTTTGAGGTCAAAGGGTCAAAGGTCAAGGTCACCGTGGTGAGTTAAAGGTAAATGGTTTCCGGATGATAACTTGAGTTAGAAATGAGATTTTGGTGTCTAACTTTGTTTGGGGGTTGCCCTTGGGAGTAGGCAAGTTGAGATTGGTTTTGGGGTCAAAAAGTCAAAGGTCAAGGTCACCGTGGTGAGTTAAAGGTAAATGGTTTCCGGATGATAACTCGACTCTGGCTGAGGGGTTTTAACAGCCAAGCTGTTATTTTATACATAGAGCTGTTAAGCACAGAAAGTGCAATATTGTTATAGCGAGTGCCCCTCCCCATGCCATCCAAACTTGTTGTTCTCATTATCAGGCTGACTTGATCCCAATGAAATCAACTTCATGTTGCTGTTATGTGTAATATCAATATGTAATATCATTATGTGTAATAGGACAATATCAAAAATAATATTGTTCTCATCTGGGTACTTCTATTGGTCTAATATTGCAGTCATCCGGGTACTTCTTACGAATGCATACAATACGCTGATTTATTTTTACCACTGGAAGCCTGATATAAATAATAGAACCTACAACTTATGGACATGTGTTTTTCTTTGAACAAAAATTTGCTAATCTCTATATTCTTGTAAGCAGCATCATGAAGCGAGAGCCTGCTCTGAAACCGAAAAAGGTAAATATCCAGGAATTGTTTGTACTCATTTCCCAGATTGTGAGAGCCGTGTGCAGCCAGCTAGCACGACTCGCCTCCTGCGTTTCCACACCCCAGCCCAAGCAGAGGAAGGAGAACATTGACATCTTAAAGAAGACGGCACCGGGAGCCTTCCCCAGTCAGAGGGAGTTACAGAACCCAAGACTCAGCCCACGGGATAAGCACCTCAGTGCCGTCGGCTACGACAGCCTGACCCAACAAAACAAACTCCCTCCACTGAAGAAGAGTTGTAGTGCAGAGGATCTGAGTCGGGATGCTGCTGGGTATGGCAGCCAGGCTAGCCTAGGGGTCCCTCAGACTAAGCAAATGCCTCGCCGCAGCCCAGTGCTTGACATGCGGAGAAACGTCACAGACGGTAACTTGGCATCCAGCTCAGATGACGACCATAGTGCCATTGTAGAAACTTCAGGACTTGCTGCCTTACGGAACGCTAGATATGTAAACAGGAGCAAAGCTCAAACACCGAAGAGAACCCCCAAAGGGAAGTTGACGTCAGGTTTGAACCGATCTGTTTCAATGCTGGCAGCGTTGTTGATAGATGATCTACAAGCTATGGATGATGTGCGATTGGTGGGGACAGCTATGGCGTTTGATGCTGCATCATCTAATGTGGACCTTGATGAACTGAATCAAGTGTTGACGGTAAGATACTCCTGTAGGTCCAAATTCTAGGTTAACAGTTGGCTTAAGGTTGAGTTGGTTAAAACAAGATTCAGCCCAAAATTTATCACATATTAAATTAATATGTTATGTTCCAATTTAATATAACATCTATAAAATGTTTTTTAACTCCCCGTCCTGGTAATTTTTGAAGTTAACGAAATAGTTTTCATGCTAATAGCAAATGCGGATTCACAAGAGTTTAAAGTTTTGTAAAGTTTGACCTTTCTCCATATAAATGCAAGTTCTTGTAACTAATCATCTTATTACATTGATCCTAATTTTAAATCTTTTTTTTTTCTCATCATTTTAGAGTCTGCAACTTCGAGTAGAGTCGTTGCAGGTAAGATTATGAAGATTAACTCTTTTGTTTATCATCTTCAAATTCATCAATTATTGAAGTAACCGCCGTAAATTCCGGTTTGGTTATGGTACCCGCTGCTATATCAGATTTGAACCAGCCAGTTGACCCCGGTAAGCTCGGTGGTCGAGTGGTGAGACGTCTGCACTAGAAAGCAGGAGCACATGGGTTCTAGTCTCATCAAGTGATTTGTTTCTCACAATCACTCTGAACAACACTGAGTATGCAGTGTTTATAAAACAATATGTTGGTGAAGGGCAAAACCCAATATTGGATCTTCAAAATAGTATTATCTGTTACAGGCCAGCATTTATCTCCGCTTTCCTTGGCATGAAACGTCTGAGCATATCTCTTTTCTCCCTGGATGGGATGCCTGACCATGCACAGGGTATAGTGGACCAGCCAAAGTGGAATATGACACTTTGAACGGCATTTTGTGGTAATAGCAAGCAACCATGTCAAATCAATCAGTGAAAGGATGGAGAAGACAATGTAGGTGGATGCCACCCTTAATTTTGACCCTAAATAAACCTAATTTGCATGAATTGTTAATCCCTGCAGTGTAATATATTTATTCCCATATTTGGGTATAGTCTTTATTTTTAATTTTTTTTTAAGTTAATTTTGGTGGTTCTAATTACACATCCTCACTTAAATAACATTTTCTGAAGCATACAAGTGACTAAATAATTATAAGGACATAGTCACAATCAAAAATGGCTACTATTTTACCCAAAAATTGTGCGCATTTACTTGGTCTCCAGATATCATCAAGTAGTCTTGCCAAACCACAGTATTGATGAGCTTCAAATTTACCAAGTTGCCCTATTAAAACCTTATGGAAAATCATGTAAACAATGATAACATAGTGATATTGAGCTCAGCAAACAAAAACGGGAAAAAACGAGCTGGCTGTCCGTAAACTGGGCTTAAATTAGGCGAAGGGTTGCTTAACGTGGGAGACTTGAATAAGTTCAAGGAACCCTCCCCCCTCCCCCCCCCCCCCCCCCCCCCCGAGAAAAAAATTGTTTGCAGTACGGTAATTATGTCCATGTCAAAATGTTTTCTTTCCCATTAATAAGGGAATAAATGTGTGCTCCGGAGGTTTTTATCACTCGTTTAATACCGCTTGGAGTCTGGGTGCTGATAATTACCCGAGCCGGAGGCGAGGGTAATTATCAGCACCCAGACTCTAAGCGGTATTAAACAGAGTGATAAATACCGACCGAGCACATATTTATTCCCATTCATAAATACCTTATCCGTAAAAAAATATCAAATAATTCGTTCAAAAAATCCCGATTTTGTTCAACAAGTTCACTTCATGCTTTTTGAAACATCCCTCTAGCAAAATAATGGAGTGTTCAGCTGGCGAGTAAGATGTAAACAACCCTTTTATGGAGATTGACGCGCGCGTAACATGTTCTGTGCGATGTCACGCAGAACGCACCGGGGGCGTTGCGTTTTGAATTTAGAACTATAAAATTCTGACTCGCTTGTAGTGTTGCGCATGCCTACGTGAGGATTGTGAACGTTCAACCAATGAAACGGTAAGAGGCACTGGATTTTTAGGAGTCCACATTTTATTGTGACACTGGAAAAGTGTTTAAGACCAGCTAGCCATGTCTTTATCATCCGTTTAAGACCGGCCACGTGACGGGCTCTCGACCAATAGGAATAGCTAAACTGTCTGAGGTATTTATGAATTATATTTAAAATATATTACACGGCAGGTATTAAAGATTTATGCAAATTAGGTATATTTAGGGTCAAAATTAACAATGGCATCCACCCACATCTTGTTTGTTATGGTTCAAAGAATTGATCTAGCATGGATGCCAGCAATTACCAAAAAATGCCGTGAATTATTCTCTCGAGAACTTTTCCACATTTGGCTGGCCCACTATTACTCCACAACTAATGCCGGTACCCATTTGTACTCCCAGGTAGAGAGTGGCAAATGGGAGTGAAGTGACTTGCCCAAGGACACAACATATGGCCAGTAGCTGGATTTGAGTCATGAGTCCTGACCACTTGGCCACACATCTTCAAAACTTAGAAATGTGTTACCCGAGAAATCTATACCAATATATTACTATTCCAGGCATGAGATTTTTTTAGACATTAGTCTGAAATCAGACTGTTTGAATCCGAAAGACATTATCAGCATAGAAAGAAAGGCATCTTTCAGACCTTTCATCAATTGACAATTTCATCCCTGTTGTTTTTCCACACACCACAGGAAGTTAGGATTCAAGGTTTTAAATCAAACTTAAGAAATTCTCACAATGTAATAGGCTCGGGACCTAATGACGTCGCGCTTTTTTTACATGTGCGCTTTCCTATGTGGTTGTGTTCCTACTTCGTCTGGCATCCAGACTTTGCACCCATAGGACAGTGCTTCTAAACAAAGCCATTACATCATTAGGTCTTAAGTCTCTTCAGTTTTACTCCAAGCATGATAGTCTTCATTTTGAAGCGATAATTTCTAAACTGTCTGTCAAAACAAAAGTAACATGTACTGTAGAACACCTTTTGGGGTAAAAACGTGTTGAAAACACTTAAAAATCCGGATTTGTGTGATCTGGTTGAATGATTTGCTGCTGATTTTTCTCCGGCAGCACAATTTGAATCGAAGTACTACAGCCTGGGAGATTGTCTCGACTGAGGGAGATCCCTTTGTCTTGTCCATGCTGATGTGGTCTTGGCTGGAACATCTGAAGGTCAGTCGCCTTTAACATTATTTTTTCAATACCGGGAATACACTGGAGGCATTTTAACAATCCTGTCATGTGACTAGAAGGATGTGAGCCAAAGTAATATGTGTTGCATTCTTATTGATTTTAGGAGCCCATTTTGAGCAAAGCAGACGTCAAGAAATTGGAATCTGAATACGATGAAGAGGATCCAGCTGTGGCATTTAAGAATTTAAACCGGGTAAGATTTGTTTGTTTTTTGGTTTTTATCCCCCTGGCTTAATTGGCCAGAAAGGAGGGATATTGCGATAGTGTATTCTGTCTGTGAGGGCGTCCGTGTATTCCATTTTGGTTCTAGGTTAACTGTTCAGTGCTGTCATGTGAAAAGTCAGACTTCAATCTCAACCAAACTTGGTGACAATAATCTTTGGGTAGGGACTTTGGATGACTTGAGACATTTGAGGTCAAAGGTCATCTAGGGGTCAAATGTGGTCATCGTTGATTTTGGTTAGGTAAACCACGGTTCCTCTGTGCGCGGATAAGCGACTTCCCAAAACGTCTGGTTACATGCGTGATGCGGCCCATGTCTCACGTGCGTGAGACGTGTACGTACGCACAACTGCCCAGTCAAATTTGTAGGGCGCTGGCTAGCTGTGGGGCCCGCGCGCATGCATTGTTTTATATGTTCTATGCGTTATTCTATGTGCGGACGCGGCATATCATGCATGTAGACAATCCATTCTGTACATTTTGTAAACAAGCTCAACTGAGTCGTTTATCCTTGTGTAGAGGATCCGTGGGTAAACTGAAAAGTGCCGTCATATGAAAAGTCAGACTTCACTCTCTAACAAACTTGGTCACATAATCTTTGGGTAGGGGAAATTCAGATGATTGGAGACATTTGAGGTCAAAGGTCATGTATGGGTCAAATGAGGCCATTGCTGATTTTGGTTAGGTACACTGAAAAGTGTGTTTAAACTTACTATATAAATACTGCCACCCATGCCAGGGGGGTCACGTAACTTCAATTTGCTGTACTTTTCTCACAGATTTTTATGTTTTGAGAACAAGATATTCATTAAAACTCTTTGGGATGTAACTACATGTATAAAAAAATGTATGAATGTCTTCTTTAGGGTGTGAAGCAGACACTGGACTGCATTTTGAAAACAGTCGCCAAGTTACCCCTCCAACAACCCCCTGCTGAAGACTTGGAAGATTCCATCCTTGTCCGGTTCATCAAGGCAGCCACACACATCTCTGTTGTGCATCTCCCGAGTGAGGATGGTTCCATTAAGAAGCGATGGGTAGACGGTGAGTATGAAAGTGACGAATCCCTCACCAATCTGTTGATAATGTTGAGGGCGTATGTCCGGTTTTTGAGGATGTCGGGCGCAGATGACACTCTCTCCCTCAGCTCACAGAACTCCAGCCTCGTTTCACTCAACGATTCCCGATCCATGAGCCTTGGATCAAGAGAAACAAGGGGAGCTCCCCCTAGCAGATTCCAGGCAGCACCCCCCACGGAGCCAACCAGGGGTGCCACTCTAAGGGACCCAAAGCAGAGTGAACAAGCCAGAGAGACATCAGCAAGTCCCGAGTTGATGAGAGGGGTACGGGAATCAAATATCACCTCAAAGAAAAGCCCCCGTGACCGAGCTGAGAGTGATACATTACCTTCGCCATCTGGGATGCTCCCCAGAGGGTTACAGAGGAGGAAACTGAAAGCAATTGAGACCAAAAAGGCAGAGAATAGTGAACCTCTTACTACATTGCCAAAAAAGAATGCCCTGCCGCCAATTTTCTAATGATCAGATGATTGTTTCCAGAGATAGCTGCAATATTAAGCTTTATTTACATGTTGCAATATGGATGGCCATGGGTTTCTTTTTCTTCAAAAAGGAAATAGTAAAGGGTAATTTCAGGAATTTAGGATCATAAGGGAACATCTAGCCCTGGTTGGACTCCGTTGTGTACACGCAACGGAGTCCAGGGTATGAATCTCTCCTGCCATAGCGAAAAAAATTATAACACATTTTTTTGCATATTTTTACCTATTTTTACCTTTTACCTGTTCCTTGTGTCCAGAATTTTGCCTGCGCTGGGTTTAAAAAAAGGCAAATATGTCCGCGGGCGGCGTGTTTACCGAAAATAAACCGCAATTCAACGCTTTCGTTGAAAACATTTTCAGTACGAACTCCCCATGTGAAGATTATGCACGCGCGTGCATGCACACCTAGCACGCTGCCACCACAGCAGCAAACGACACGCTCGTTTACGTCTTCACGCGGAGAGTTCGTACTGAAAATGTTTTCAACGCAAGTGTAGACTTGCAGTTTATTTTCGGCAAACACGCCGCCCACGGACATATTTGCCATTTCTAGACCCAGCGCAGGCACAATTCTGGACACAAGTGTTTCACCCGTAAGGGAGACGGGTGGTTGACAGAATAAATCTGTAAGCAAAGGCAGAAAAGGAAGTAGAATATATGAACTGTTCTTTTCGCGGCTTTGCTCGCTGCGACATCAGACAGATCCATCCGATGTCCTTCTGAGGACACTAGCCTACCAAGATACCGTGTTTCCTTCTGGAATAATTCGCACTTGGAAGGTTTCAAGGTTTCAGCTTGACTCCATGTTCTTTAATAAGGCGCCTCAAAACCTTGCGGAGATTGTCGAGATGAGCCTGGAAGGTGTTGCTGAAAACCAGCACATCATCCAAGTATGTCATTGCGATGTCACCATTCAAATCCTCCAGACATATTTCCATAAACCTTTGGAACACCGCAGGTGCGTTGGTTAGGCCAAAGGGTATCCGTACCCACTCATAGAGTCCCCAAGGCGTGACAAACGCTGTAATATGGCGACTGTCCGCTGACATGAACCCTTGATGATAGGCCTTCCCCTGGTCGAGGGTCGAAAATCAGGAATTTACTCCAAGGTTATCCAAAACATCTCGGATGCGTGGTATGGGTTGGCGGTCAGGTACTGTCTTACGATTAAGCTCACGGTAATTAACACACAGTCGCAAGGTGCCATCTTTCTTACGGACACAGACAATGGGTTAGGAGTGTGCTGAGCTCGACTTTGTTATCCACCCTCCAGCAATGAGATCAGACAAGTAGTTCTGTACCTCCTGAAACAAGGGGCGTGGAACAGAAGTGTACGTCTTTTGCACGGGTTGGTCGTCACTCAACTTTATACTCATCTGCAGAGGATCAATGCATCCCGTGTCCTCTCCATCTCTAGCAAAGGCTGCAGACTCTTCATGGAGCAGCTTTTCTACAGCAACTTTCTGAGGTGGAGACAAATGGCTCAGATCGATGGGGGGTATCCATGAGTCATGAAGAGACATCAGTGTCAAGGACTGCATTTATTGTGGTGTTTTGCTGGGGTACTCTTGTCCACTTATCTTGGGTTGAGAGACATAGGGGGGTGACTGATTGGACCAGTTGCAGTTGACCAAGTGGTGTTCGATGCTTGAGGACGACGGTGTGGTCGGTGGAATTTGTTACTCTGATGGTCACAGGGCAAGACTTCCCTCGAGACAGAGTAACGACAGATTCTTCAACTTGCAAGCCCTCTGACCACTGCGAGCGAACATCAGGTTCAAAGAGGACTGCCATCTTATGGTGCACTGGACCAGCATGAACATGGCAGCGGATGCCGACATTACTCTGTGGTGGAATGATGACATCCTGCTTACCCGATATGACATTACAGAGGTCATCTGAGTCGTTGGATTGGATTAGTTGGACTAGGCTGGCTACTTCGTGGTGGCCAAGACTCCGAACTGCTTTACCAAGGACGTTACTTTTGGGTCTTCTCCTGGACTCTTCACAATTTCCTCGATAACATTGTACCCGATGATTGGTTGCTGCAATTGGCCTACGGTGATTAAGGCAGAAAAGGATACTTTCTTAGGCCTTCCTTCTGGTGCTGTCAATTTTAGCTGAACATCTATCCATTTATCGAAGGGGATAGGGGTTCCATTGGCTGCTTGCAGGTCTACTTTCTCATCGCAGTCCAGTAGCTCAGAAATGGGACGGAGTGGGGTTCCTCGTAAGTTTTGGTCGACCCACGCAGAACTTAACATGGACACCTGTACACCGGTATCCCACAGTACTGTTGCTGGCACATCATTGAGGAGACAATCAACAGTACATCTTCGTCTTATCAGTCTTGTGATTTGGTAGTGCTTCTTTGGACTGACATGACAAACAAAGACATCATTGGAGGATGGTGGATACTTGAACTGGGAGGGTGACTGTGAGGTTAACTGGGACGCTGTCGTTTCGGTTACTCCCTGTCCCGTGGGGGCAACCCTTGTCCGTTTCCCTGCTGTGGTGACGGCTTACTCCTTCAACCACGAGCAAAATGCTCAAGAGAGCCACAGCGATAGCAGTGTGGGCATGTGGCAACGGTCCCAGCACGATCGCAATCTTCACAACCCCGACGAGTTGAAGGTCGGGCTTGTGATCGGGTTTACTGCTGACGTTGGGCCATCTGAAAACTCTCCTGCATGGCTGCTGTCACTCCCGTCTGGCTAAAGCAATTTAAGTGAGTCCCGTTTGGAGACCCCAAACCACTTGTAAAAGACAGAAAGAATTCAATCACAAAAATGATATAAATTTCAAGAAAAATATGAACAAAATTTATTAATAGAAAATAATAATTAATTCAATTATATTTACAATTATATACCGTATATCTAGTCAACCTGGCGAATTTACTTGCAGGCCTCCGTTAAAAGCTTATAGGCCAAAGGTTCAAACAAATTAACCAATCAATGAAATGTACTCGGTAAAGGAATGATCAAGAATTAAACGGAAATGCAAAATAAATGCGTATATAAAATAAACGTCAGATTTAGCCACAAATTGTGCTTAGGAAATCACTCAATCGACCAGTAATTAATCAATTAAACCTACAACTTAAGAGTCTATTGCTAGCTTAAATCAAGTACATATATCATTAACTAACTAAACAATAAATAAATAAACAATAAAATATTCCGGAATAATTATGTGCACTTTTATGGGCCCACCGCGGTTTTGTTGCACCAGACTAGTCTGTGCCTTCTATACCGTTCGTCTAGAGTCCGGCGATCCCCTTGCGTCGGCTCTCTCGCTTACTCGTCACAAGCTTGGTAGACGGTTACAGATGAGCAGAGGCCACGTCCGGCATACTTCACGGCTGATGAGTGTCCATCAGACAGCCTTGACTGCTGTGTGGTGCGCTCGGCACCAGACTATGTGGGCTTTATGGACCTGTCTTGTCTCATATGCTATACTAGTTGCTGGCCTGACATTAGCTCCGGCTAAAGTGCCGTCTTCAAATAAATTAATGTTACACAATGCAAATAATAACAATTTATCTCCAATTATCATAAATATGTGTATCAAAAGACAAACGCTAATTGAAAGCTATCACTCTCATTCGTGGAGCAAATCCTCATAAAATGAATCTAGCATCACTAAATGCCTCAGAATAAATCATATCTTCTCCTTATCCTCATTTTAAGAATTAAGGAGCAAACATTAAATTACAATTACACTGCTAATCTCTTATATCTTATCGTGATCGAATATCTTATCGTGATGGGCAAAAAGCAACTTAGTCACCAGACTATTCTTTTGTTCAAGCCAGGTTTCCGACAATACATTTCAAAATAAATGCAAAATTTGTCATAAAAATCCAAATACACCAAAATAATGAAATCAACCATACTTACAATCAGATAGGGTCTTGGTCCCTTGGACTTCTGGCCCTTCACGACCGATCCCGGTCTCAAATCAGCGAAAATGTCGCTCAAAATTGCATCGCAATTGCGGATCAACCTCTCGGGTTATTTTCTTTCGCGGGGATCCTTCTCTCTTTCATCACATGACTACGGCACTTATTTACATTACAAAATACTTACTAAGACACACACGCAAAAAAACCAAAAGTTTCTACGGCTTTATTCATCAACTTATAAATATTCATATACATGGTTCGCTGAATCTTTCAGCGTACAGGCTATATGCAATTGTATGCGCACGTAGGTATTGTTATTATTATTATTATTATTATTATGCATTTAGGTACGCTATTCATAGTATAACTATATCACAGCGATTACAGTAGTAATGAGCAATATAACAACAAATCATTAAACATTATACAAACAAAACAACAATAATACATCAATTGGGAAAGAGGTATGTTTTGAGGATCTTCTTAAACACATCCACTGATGGAGCAGATTTAATATAGGAGGGAAGTTCATTCCACTCCTTAGCTGCTGTAACAGTGAATGTACGATCTCCTGCCTTACTACGAGTCCTGGGAAAAGTTAGCCGAGATGGATCTGCATTGGAGCGAAGATTAGTACGCAAAGGTCGATACAACTCAAGACACTCATTAAAATACTCTGGGGCCTGATTATGAAAGAATTTGTATATAAATAAAAGAATCTTAAACACAATCCTCTGTTTAATTGGTAACCAATGAAGCGATCTTAGAAGAGGCATGGCATCATGACGGCGATCCAACTTAAAGATGACACGAGCAGCCCAGTTCTGCAAACTTTGAAGTCTCTTAATATGCATCTATTGTTCTCTACGTACGCCATTATACACAAACATTGAAAGTGAAAACATAAGAAAAATCAACGAATAGCTATACTTACCTGACCTTGCGCGACAGAAAAGGAAAGGAAAGTAAAAGTAAGAAAAGGAATTACTTGAAAATAAGGGGAAAAAGATAGAATTTGGCATCAACTGTGACAGCTGCCATTTGGGTCTTAAGTGAGGCCATCTCTTTTGTCAGTGTGTTTGGCTTGGGTGGGGCTTTCTCCTTCTCATCACAATGCACCTCCTGAACGGTGGGGGGCCTCATTTTACTTAGCTTGCTTTGACGCTCGGTTTCTACACTGGAGCAGACGTTCAGCTTTGCAAAAAGAGTCTCATCTGTCATCTTGGGATCTTCCAGGTGGAGACGCAGTTCAGACTTTATGCTGTCACTTCTCAGTCCTGTCATCACAGTGTGTTGGAACATGTTCTGATCTAGGACG